GCTGTGGAGCTCTGTTATACACTCAGACACATTACTGGGAGTATTGTTGCTGTGGAGCTCTGTTATACACCCAGACACATTACTGGGAGTATTATTACTGTGGAGCTCTGTTATACACTCAGACACATTACTGGGAGTATTATTACTGTGGAGCTCTGTTATAAACTCAGACACATTACTGGGAGTATTATTGCTGTGGAGCTCTGTTATACACTCAGACACATTACTGGGAGTATTATTGCTGTGGAGCTCTGTTATACACTCAGACACATTACTGGGAGTATTATTGCTGTTATACACTCAGACACATTACTGGGAGTATTATTGCTGTGGAGCTGTTATGCACAGATACATTACTGGGAGTATTATTGCTGTGGAGCTCTGTTATACACTCAGACACATTACTGGGAGTATTATTGCTTGCTGTTATACACTCAGACACTCTAATACAATACTATAGTTCCAGCTTGGTATAGGCAGGTCAATGAGCAACCCCTGCCCTGGCTCCCTAGTAGACATTGATGAGCCAGCAGAGATGCCTCGGCATGTTACACAGTCAAAGGTGATATTTGCATTACACCTTTCCCTGTTTGATTTGAAAGCTTACCAAGGACAGCATGGAAATCAGAAAGGCCAGCAAGAAAGAAAAGTCTGGAACTAACCCGAGTTTCCCCCAGGTAAAACCTGCCTATGAACCCAAACTGGTCACAATATCAAAAGGCAGGCCATAGAAGTAGTAAGTAGCCTTGCACACAGCATGACCATGACAAACAAAATAGGATCACAATTGCTAGGACATCAAAGCAAAGCATTAAAAAAAATAAAAAAATATTTACAAATGAACAGTAAAGGCGCTTATGTTAAGGTCTTAGTAGGAAAAATGTAGATTTCATTCAAATCATTGATTTCCTGTGTGTTGGAGAGAAATGCCAGTATTTGTACACACATCGGTACCCAGGTCCCAATAATGGCCTGCCTGCAGGGATGATATTTATTAACTATATTATCCTGGACTTCAACAATGAGATCCTGCTGTTAATCATCAGTTCCCTACATCCATATTCCCTGCTCAGAGCTGGAACAACCACCAGCTACACCCACCTGGTGTACAGGATCTTTAGCACCGACAGCCTATGGGCCAAGCACTGCACAGTCAGTGAATAGGAATTACAATGGGATCGTGAGCATTCTCCAGGTGACTGATGCTCTTGGCAGCCAGGCACCAACCTGTTAGTGTTATCTTTAGGACACTGGCTTGTGGTGTAAGCTCGGTCTTGTGTTCCTAGCAATACAGTGATTAAATTCCCTGGTTTTATACTCTATAATTCTATAGCATGAACGACTATTACTTTGTCATGGCATGATCTAACTTCCTGCCTCATAGCAATACTCCGTTACACCTCTATAAGAAATGTATGCGAGTCTGTAAATGAATGTGTCTGACGGTGTAGGAGAGTGTTTGACTCGGTGTACATAGTAAAAAAGACAAAATAATTGGAGGCACACCCGAAACACGCATTTTTGCAGGAATGGTGCTGACGGAGTGACCACAATTTATGCAGAATACAGATAAAGGAACAGAGCACAGATAAAAATACATTTTAACATTTTATAAGGCTACTTAAAAATCGCCTCTCAGCAAACAAACATGGGGATTCAGTTCCACCATATAGCCATATTGTGTTAATCCCACCACTATGTCACAGTACCCCAATATTCGTGTGTCCTACACAAATTCCAACATGGGAGACATGTATTTTTATGTGTGAACTGTTCCTTTATCTGTATTATGACAGATAACTGTTGATGTCAGACAGTTTATGTGTCGCAAGGAGCGTGCATCTAGGTGAGGGGACTGGCAATTGTTTAAGTGGCTCTGAGGTTTGAGGGCAGTCTTGTCTGAGATGGTCAACTGATCACTCTGAGCCAATGACCTATGTCCTGCACCACCATGCTTAGTTTAGCTTTTGGCTCTAATTAAGCAGTAGTAATATATTAACTAGTATTAATATAGCACCTTTCTCCCAGTAGGACTTAAAGCGCTTTTTAGCGCACGCTCTCGGAATTAACCAAATCAGTAATAGATGTGACCTTTCATTTTTGAACAGGCTTTGTAGTCAGGGAATTTACCAACTGAGCTACCTCACTGGCTAGTAGAGGCAGGGACGGCACCCAGCAGACAACAGATAAGAATTCAAACCATTCTAAAAACAAATGAGATGCCTTAGAATGGGGTGGAGGTGCCGTCGTGGGCGGTGTAGTGGGTATGGTGTTTGGTATGTTCCTTGAAATTGCCTGCTTAAAAGAAGTGACACTCTGGAAAGGTAATTACAACAATAATGGTCATCTTGCTTTTATGACGTCTCCTGCTCGCAGGCAAGCTTTACCGAATGCTGGTCTAACAGTACTGAGAGGGCGTGTTGAACAGCTGTCATTTAGAAAACAGATGCGGAAGATACACTGGCTATTTGCCAAAAAGACAGAATTCCCTATACATGTAGCTGCAGTAAGCTGAAACGGGGCCCCTTAACAGTGTCTAATTATTTGAAGTGAATTAAAAAAAAAAAATTGCTATATTTTGGCGAGAACATTGGAAAAACTCTCCCAATCTGCCGATTTTCAAAATTGGCAATATTTTTGCAATTCCATTTTTAGTTCACCATAATTCTCAATTTAGTTAATAAACCAGAGGAAGAGAATTTTGGAGGTAATAGCCAGGTCTTACGGAGTTGGTCACAAAATGCAGTAAATGTGATGTACAGCTTTTCGGTAAAGAAACACTATAGGGTTAGGAATCCCAACATGTATTCATGACCCTATAGTGTTAAAACCACCATTTAACCTCCTTGACACCCCTAAATAAAGTACAATCTTATTTGTACTCAAGTCTGCAGCTGCTGCCTCTGTCCCTGATCTGCCTGCTTGGCTGACATAATCAGAAGTGATTCTCTGGGCCAGTTACAATG